AAGTCATACACTTTGTCAGTTCTTCTGTTCACAGAACTAAAAACAATCACAGTGATCTTTACAAATAAAGTGGTTGGCTCCAGATAGGAGAGGCTCTTCTTCATATTTTTCTTTTAGTTCAACAAGAGCCATACATTGAGATTTCATGGGGAAAAAATAAGTGGAAAATAAATATCGGGGAGTTGGCTAGATGGGTACTGATTTGGCTGGATAGCAACATCTCTACTTTTCTTTGCATTTTAGGAGTAGGGATGAGAGGGATGCTCTGAAGGGAGAGATGGCCTTGGGACCACAGCAGTTTGCCTCTGTTACAGCTCTTCTGCTTCACTTGACTAAACATTTATGGCTTCCCACAAACAGCCCTCTTCCCTGGGCACATGCATGACCACAGCCCACTGCAGCTGCACGTAGCCATTGGCAGGGCTGGGCAGTCCCCACTGTGCCGCCTTTGGAGCTGCACCCAGGTGCCCCAGAGCAGCCGTGTGGCTCTGCTCTCTGCAGACAGAAACATCCCGCACCAGGTGTGGAGCTGAACTCTCCAGGCAGCAAGACAGCTGCTGGATGGTCCCTTACTGTGGGATGTTTTGTGAGCTTCTGCAGAGTAGAACAGAACTTGAGTAAATCATAAAAACAGGCAGGGAGAAGGTTGGCATAGACTGCAAGAAGGAAATGGTAGCCTAGCCCACTGTCTTTTTGGTTCTGGAATAGTGTGTGAACATTTAGAAATTTTAACCAAACGAGCTGTGTAGATCTATTTCCTCTGCCTTGATTCCCCCGGGTTAAATGTCCTAATATAATACCAAGCTCTTCCACACCCGCGTAGGTGTGTAGATGAGCCAGTAATTATCACCTGCGTTTAGATCTCATGGTTTTTAGTCAGGACAAATGACGAAAACACTACTAAAATAAATTATTTATGTGTGTCTCCTAGAGTTAGAACACACCTATGGCAATTCTTTCAGAAGTTATCTTCCAGCTTTTTATATAGGGAATTCTAGAACCTTATGAGGGAATTTAAACGGCTATAATTCAAAGTTTGCCTATTTGGGGAATTCAATTTTACCACATATTTTGATTCAAAAATTTCCCCAAGCATTGAAATGTGACTAAAGTCATTCTTTATAGGTAATAAGAACCACCTGGTGACTGCATCCCGTACATACTTCCTCTTTATTTTACAGTGTGTCTTTTATCAGCATTAATCTTGGGTCATGGTTGGGGCAGGAAAGAAACCTGCCTTAACAGCATGAGATAGTATGAAAAAAGCTTGCATCAAAAAAGCCAACAGACCTAAATTTGGGAACTCGTAATTTTATTATTCTGGCTGCAGCCTGCTGTCAGTGGTAACTTTGAGAACTAGCATTTAGCCTATGTTGTGTACTTGGGTTTGATTTGGAAGAACAATACTGTTGTTCTTTCTTTTCTTGCCAGCCTGTCCCATTCCACCCTGTCCTTTCCTGTAAAGTTCTAGTCTCAAGTATTCCCTGAGGCTTTCTCTCCTCTTCTAAGTTGCAGAACCTGGATATAAGTCCTGCCCTGGCCTGGTCTTTTATTCTGACTTATGATACTCTTCACTTGTTTGATGGGTATTAGTTTTCTTCCCTGGGTACTTTTAGGCTTCAGAAATCTCAAATTAAATGAAATAATTTGACTTCACTTTATGCTTCCTTAACTCATTAAATTATTTTGACTAATAGAGGTTTCAACACATAATTTTAATATTTCAGCTCAAAACATTTTTCCTCATTAAGTAGACAAATTAATCTCTAGCATAGCTCTGTTAAGAGAGCACAAAATGTATTCACAGGCTCACTGGGGACTGGGGTCTGCTGAACTACTTGACCACCACAGAATTTCATGTATTGTAGACTAAACAGTTTTCTTTAGAGCACTTTTATATCCATGTGTATTATATTTGCCCCCAACAGGAAAATGTTCTTTACTTCAAACTACTGATATACAACTTTCAAATCATGACCCACTAGGGACTAGCAATATAATCCTGGTCAAATCATATATATATGAACATTAACAGTCTATATCCTAATGGATTTCATTCAATTATACCAAACTAAAGACAACATTAAATAAGCCACATGCAGACACACTGAACGGCCCCAGATTTATGCCAAGTGGTAAAACTCGGCATAGGGTTCTGATTTCAGGGATTTAATATTGCTAAATTTCATTTAATACTGTTTTTTCTCAAAGACAAACCCAGAAAGGGCCTACTTTAGGCTTTGCTGGTCTTGAGGTAAGGACAGGTTGCAGGGGTCCTCCTCAGGGAGAGAGGGACGGGAGAGAGAAGCGAGGCACTCACCATGAGGGCGGGATAAAGGGGATGAGGCTGTCTTTCAGTCTGAGGCAAACTCCAGAAACCATTAGCATGAGTCCACAACAGCTACCACCAGAGGGTTGATCTGAGCCCCAGGACCTGACTGGTCCTGAGATTCCAGAGCGAAAGGCAGCTCAGCTCAAGGTGCTTTCCTCTCATGCACCTTCTTGACCAGTTAGGTCAAATGCTAAAATGGCACTCTTGTAAGACAGTAACAGAAAGTTCTTTTTTGTTAGATTTATTTTACCAACTGTTACTCATTATAAGTAGCTCTAGTATCAAAAGTGATTATTCCAACTAAATGAAAGTCAGAATGAAAAATAAAATGAAAGTCAGAGCCAGTCACTCCAGTCACCACCCTTCAGGGTCTCCCCATCTCTTGACCACGTTTCCGGATCCGGCATAGAAGGCCCTCCGCAAGCTGGCTCCACCTCTCTGCTCCCACTGCCTCTGTCCACTTTTCCCTCCTCACACTGGTGAAAGCAGCCTGCTGTTCCCTGCACACAGCCACGCCATTTGGGGCCTCTGCACCGACACGTGCTACTCTCTCTGACATTCCTTTCCCTCCCACAGTCCCCTACCTCCTTACTACTCATCCTCCAAGACTTGCCCAGGTGTCACCCTCTCCAGAAAGCTTTTCCTAATTTCCCCAGACTTGTGGAGTGCCGCTCACTCTGGGCTCCCACCGCCCCCGTGCAAACTTCGACCAGCGCTCCCAGCACTTAGTGTAGAAAAATCGGTTATGAACCGCCTGTCCCGCTAGCCTCGGGCTCCTCAGGGGCAGGCACCACGGTAATTCACGTCTGCAGCCACACTACCAAGCAACGCTAAACACATCGTTGGCACTTAATAAATGTTAGTTGGATGAAAATGCAATCCTTTTACAAACAAATCAGGTTTAAAATGTCACCAGAATAGCTGTGTTCTCTTTCTGATCATGAGCTGATAGGAGCACCGGGAGAGGATCTGAGGACAACCTGATTCAGAAAGGGAACACAACGAACATTCAGAAATTGAAGGCCTTTCAATGTACTTTCTGTGTATACACAGCTCACTTTTTATTAAGTGGAATGAAAACCATCCAAGTTCTATAAGCCCAAATATCCCTATTAAAAAGTCCAATTAAATGACCTTTTCTCTTTTACTCTTTCCTTAAAATATAGTATGGTAAAAATAGGCTCTCTCTCTGTTAATCTTGCTAAGGAAACAGAACCAAGATCATCAAATGGGCTTTTACTGAAATATATGCTTATTTTGGCTAACTTAAATCCTTTAAGAAAATTAGCAGTTGCAAACTTTTCCATATTACAGCTCAAAATAGAGAACTTGAAAGAAAAAAAAAAGCTTGTGGAAAAGTGTTATTTTTGCAGTATAGGACTATGATTTATACACAGGAAACCTTCTATAACAAATTAGATGGTTCCTTTTCCCCCGAAAAGACTGGAAGAGTGTCCCTGCTCTCAGAGCCAACATAGGCTTTCTGGGTGTCACAATCAATACCCAATTCAATTCAATCCATCGACGGCCATGAAAGATCTAAGAAGCAAGACTTATGACAAAAACCTCTGCTGCTGGAGTTCCAGTCTTCACCTCTGCTGATCTTTTCCAACACTAAGGAACTTTCCTAAGCTATGCAATATTCAATCTGATAAAATTCCTAACTATGTCCCTCTGCAAATTGATCTGTGTTGATTCGTGTACTATAACTTAAGATGTCAATTTTTTGTTTTTACAGAAAGCACAGACAGTTCATCAAACTGTGTTTTCAAGGTTGAGGAAAGAAGCTGATTTCCCACAGAGAGTGAAATTCAGTCCATAAATGAATTCAGCACATTGGCTTTGTCAAGGCAACACTTGGCTGTACCCATTTGAGAATCTCCTTGAGCAATAAATTTGGTGATTTAGCCGTGAAAACCAAACAAAACAAAAAACAAGAAGAACCCTTCTTTGCTACATTTCTAGAAATGCCTAAGGCCCTTATTTTTCTTGAAATAATAAAATGAACTGATAAAATATTTGGTATTTTAGATTTAAAAAGAAATCACAAAACTATACAGCAATATAAACAATCTGGTATCAATGTGTAATAAGGGATGCCAATAAAAGTTGTTTATTATAGAACAATGCTAATATTATACATTTCTATTTCCAAAATTCTGTTCTCATTTGTATGGTAAAAAGACCCAAAAGAAAAGGTAGCTGGTCTGGGACTAGTCTGCAGTTGTTGTAAGCATCGGCTATTACAAACTTTCACTTACATCTGCCACGTGGCTTTTAGTTCTTGCCTTCCCCTTTCCAGCGAACCAGCCATACTCTTCTGTGCTTCAAATCTAGTTTACATCCTGCACACTCCAGCTGTCTCGGGTACTTTTCCTTCTCTAAATTTTGGTATTTAATATCAACATTTGGCATTAACGCCTTCTGTTATTCATTGCCCCCAGCTACACTGTTAACTCACAAGACCGTCCTGTCGGCTCTTGTATCCCCACCAACAACTTTCATATTTGCAAACCATGACTCCAGAGGTATCTAGTGCTGGTATAGGAAGCCGAAGAATGAAAGGCAAACGAGACCTCCCTTCAGACGGAGAGGATGATGGCATTTCATTTCTTTGCTATGACCTTTGCCCTCTCAGAATTCACCTGTCATAGCGCTGGTGGCTTACCTTGTGTCTGGTTTTAGATTTTCTACTGTGGAGAAGGTTTGATTTGTAACTTGAATGGACTTGTTCTTCCCACTGAATGACCCATTTTCTCTGGATATAACTTCATATTCTGAAAAGCGAAAAAGCCAACAGATAGTTGTCTTTATGTTCTGGCTGATTGAACTGTTCTTGAAGCTGATAGCAATAATAGAGTCACTCTCATGAAAGTGAGCAACTTAGATCGCAGTTCTAGAGACATATTGATCTTACGCATTAGTAATTTCCAGATGGGGATGGTCAGCGGATGACGAGGGTCCCAAAGCTTATTGGAATTTTTTTGGGGAGTTGCTCATTAACCTGTGTTCCCTTCACAGGAGCAGGGAAAGCCTGGTGACTGTGAAGGCCAATGGCGCTCCTGTGGTAGCTTCAGCTGCTGGTAACCCATTTTGTTAGGTGGAGAAGAGAGCCCAGTGGAAAGTGATTTGTTGGGAAGCCCAGTGTGGGGAAAGCACTGCTTGAGGACTGGTGCTTTTCCTGCTCAATGGGGCTTTACAATACAGCTCGGGAAAAGGCCACCGAATGCGTGCACTGCTGCACAAAACTTCTTGAGTTCAAAACCATAGCAGCAAATAATAGTTAACAAATAATGAACTATGCTTTCCTAGAGTCCATCGTTTTGAACTATAGAATTATGGGATTTTTGTACCACCGCTTACATAAGCTACAGAAGTTTTATACATATTGCTTACATATGCCCCCTTGATAATTATCCTTGTATTTTTTTAAAAAATAATATCCTTAAAATCCGCATAAATTTCACTTAACAGAATGTTTCTATGAACTCACAGGACTAATCAAAAGAGAAAGACTTTTGGAAGAAAAGAACAGAATTTATGAATTTGTTAATTGGTCTTCCCTGCTCTCAGTTGGGATTTAGTTTAATGCATGTGACAAGATCATCCAGAGGATTAAAAAACCCAACCAAACAAACAACAAAACCCCACTCAAAATCAGCTCCATCCACATGAGGAAACACCCGGTGGTGGACGGGAGGGAACTGGGGAGGCTGCAAGGAGCTGGCAGGTCGCTGGGGATTCTGCTGTTAGCATGGAGACCAAAGGGAGGCGGTGCGTTCTGGCAACAGAGCTGAAACTAGAGAATAACTCAGGGAGACCTACAACCACCAATTTTAATTTGGGAAGGATTTTTTTTTTACTGAGGTCATAATACTTTATAACTATTATGTGAAATTTTGGTTGTACATTATTTGTAAGTCACCATGTAAATGTGCCCCTTTACCCCTTGTGCTCACCTCTCAACCCCCTTGGGAAGGATTTTTAATGGTATATTTTAAAAATCCAAAAAGGGCAATGACTCTTTCTGAATAATTTCATATGATCATCCTTCCAAAAATTCAAAATTAAACTGGAAGGAAATGCCCATTGTATCTGGACACATCAGGGCGGCCACTGCAGGACTGACGGCTGGTATTTAGTACTCCTTCCTGGGACTTTTTTGTTCCTCACCTCTCTCTCAGTTGGCTTTCTATTCTAAAAGGGAGGGAGGGGGAGGATCCTGAAGCCAATAGAAAAAGATGGGAGCAATATAAATGGAAGCAAAATTGATTTTTACAAAAAGGAAACTGCATGGCTTAATGGAAAGAGACAGACTAAGCCACTTGCCTTGATCTCAGTCTCAGTTTTCCCGTCTGTAAAATGTCAACAATATCTCTTCATAGTGTAGCTTGTGGGGATTAAACTAGGAACATATGGAAAGTGCTTAATAGCATTTTGCTCAACAGGTGGTACCTATTATGATTGTTGCTTTTATTATCTCTTATTATCCCTGAGTTATGCTTTGAAAATAAGGTCACAAGAGTTTGAAAGATTCCAACTGGAAAGATTCAAGTGCTGCTCAGTCTCCAAAAGAATAGTTTCTAGGACACCCAAGGTGGTTATACACGAAAACAACCAGCTTCAGAAAGCCTCTTCAGCTTGGACATTCCTCATCTATCGTGGGAGGTTCTTTTTAACATCTCCCCAGCCTTTCAGTCCTTGAAACTCTTACTGCACATCTTCTCCAATTGTCTTTTAATTCAAGTTTTAAATGTTGATTTAATACTGTTTTTGTCCTGAAAGACTGGAGTTTTCAAAATGGGCCTAGAAGTTACTTGTACCTTCATAGTTAAAAAGATACTTAGAATTTTCTCAGAATTCTAGTTTTTGAATATATATTCTGGGGCTTTGTAAAAATATCTTTTATTTTTAATGCTTTAAAGTGATAATAGCTTTTTCATAAACCCACCGACATTATAAAAATGGAATATTACTCTTTAGAATCAATATTTATAGACAATTCTGAGTATATTTCAGAAGGTTAAAAACAGCCTCTTAAGTATGTGTCCATATTCCTTATTTTAAAATATGAGATTTTGTTTATGATTTCATTAACAGTAAAGACATATGGAAACCTATAAAGAACTAACACTGACTAATTTGTCTTTTTCCCCCCCTCAGAGGGTTTTATTGCTCTGCTATGAGATAATTCACTAAACAGAAAACATTATTTATTGAAAGGGTTGGGAACGTCAGAGTTAGGTCAATAGAACACGAAAATAATAATGGTGATTCTGCTTCCCCCAGTCCCGCTATTGCTACTACTGGCAACGTTCATTCAGGCACTTCTGATTTATGCTGAACATCCAAATCCTCTGTTTAATTTTATCCTTATGATAAAGTGGTAACAATGGGAATTATTATTATTATTGTTACAAATAAGGAAACGAAAGTTCAAAGAGGCCAATTATATACCCAAGTTGCATATCTAGAACACAGCCGGTCCGGGGTTCAGTCTCCGCCGGCACGCTCTCGGCGTCCCACAGACCAACACCTCATAACTAACTTAAGTTGCCCAAGGCCCCTGGCTATGGCCAATTTCTTAGGTGCACCTATTTCTACTTTAGCGTAGAAGGGACATGTAAAAGCAACTGAATTTGGATGTATTGACTAGAGATGAACACGTGCCTGTCAATGAAAAGAAAGATGAGTGATAGAAGCCCACTCAGGGAATGAAGAATATATTTCATTCTCTTTTGGTTTCCTTTCTCAATCCTTTCTTGCAAAACCATTTCCAGTGATATGAGAATTAATCTCTGTATTATCTGAGCTGCTGGTTTATAAGAGATTACATTTGAAATCAAGACGTATTTAATGTAACACTAAAAATAAACAAAAATGGAAAAAATAGAACAGACCATTAGGGCATATGATCCAACATTTAAACACAGACTAGGTGAGCAATGGTTAAATATGGACTTATTTCTATTTAGAAAATATTACAGCTAAAGAGATGTGGTCCTTATCCATGAAATTGTTATTCTAAGTCCACTATCTTGTGAAAGATCTCAAGCAGCCCATTAACGTCCAGTAACAATGTTACAAAAGTAATTGGTTAGATGGATAAAGTGTAGCCCAGTCATGATTCTTTGAAATTACAAGTTTATATAATTTAAAAAATGTTACATGATGAACCAGAAAGAAAAATCCTTCTGCTTTAAAAAATTAAATCAGTTATTACTGACATACACAAGTGAATATGTATTGGATGTATTAGATTATTAGATATAGATTAACCAATTTCCACTTGATGTCCTACATCTTTGAGGTAAATTAAAGTTTACAGATCATTTGGTTTTGTGAGAATTAAACCTCAGAGTATCACAGGGCCTCCTTATTAGCACAGTATATGGATTGAGAGTTTTGAACATTTTAATACATGTACACAATCAATACCTAGAGATTGATTTAGATGTTGGGATGGTAGCACCTACTGGCAGAGTCCCAAGCAAAGAAGCAGGACTAGGCAAATCCCCAGGAACCATGGGCAGTGGCTGGCTCTTCCTCCAAACAAAGGCAAGCTTTTCATGAGAAAGGAAAGTCACAAAATATGGTAAAAAAAAAAAAAAAAAAAAGCCAGCTAAGCAAAGATAAGCTGCTTACACGGGAAGTTGTCCAGACCAAATGGTTTTGTCTGAGGAGACATAGCTGCTGTTGTCTCTTTTATTCATAGAAATGTTTTTGGCGGATCCTGAGTCTCCCCACCCCCACCTGGCCCTCTGTCCTGCTCTCTCCTCTCCTGACATCCTCTTGCTGGGCCCCCTATTCCCTGTCTGCCCACCCAGGCACAGGCGGGGACTTGGGCAGCACAAACCTTGCCTACTCACGTGATTTGCTCTGTCCCCCAGCTGACTTAGGTCGTAAGTCTTTTCCCTCCCTCTCACTAGAGAGACTTAAATTCCCATAGCACAGATTCAGAGAATGACTCACAGTGTCTTATATTTCACAGTCATTTTTAAAGGAATTAGGTGGGTGATAGCAGAATCAAAATTCCCTGAGATGAGTAGAAAATTGACCAGAAATAGAATTTTTAAAAAAGTTTTCCTAAAATGATTGAAATAACTTTTAGCCTGCTTGAAAGTTCTAGGCCAATGTAGAAATTGGGTTGGTGAAAGGAAAACTGGTTTCAACATCATCAGCAGTGGCAACTTCTCATATGTTATCTGTAATTTTCTTGGTAATGAAAAGACTAGATATATTTTCACATTGTGACAAACAGTTCTGAGAGGAGATGGAAAGAATGCAACTTAATAGATTTGCTACGTTAACAGGGAGCCCATAATCAGGACAAAGATGACATTTTCCCATCATATGACACTTGTGACAATAACGTCACATGGGGACAGCAGAACTCTGCTGGGACTCACTACTCCTGAGATAGGCCTCACAGGCCATAGTTTGACCAAGGTTCCACACTCCCAATGCATTGCAGTCTCAAAGCTTCCCACCGCAGTAACAGTTCTCATGTATGATCTTACCAGTGACAGTGTCATTAAGTGGCTTATCCCAGTCCAAGATGACAAATGAGGGGCACCCTTCCACAGTGACCACAGTGAGGTTGGTAGGTGGGTTCTGCGGTGGGCTGGTGGCATTCCCCTCAGTGGCCTCCTCTTTGGGGAACCGTTTGACGGAGTCGGTGATGGAGCAGGGCCTGTTGTCAGGTTTCTGGATGTAGCGCACATGAGGACCTAAGAGAGAGAGGACTCTGACATTCAGCGTTCTTTGAGCTTGTAGAGAAGGTGGAGATGAATTCATAAATATAATTATCTGTTTGAGGACACTGGCTCTCATGTTGTAAGCAGATGGATGGAAGGAGTGATGTGGATGGTTCACGCTTGTGAAGATCCAGACTCCTGTCTCTGGGATACATGAGGCGGACGTGGTTGTTGATTTACTTTTCTAAGTACATTTAGCTCATGCTAATATCCAAAAGGAATTTGGTCCCCCTGAGCATGGTCTAAATCTCATAATTCACGGAGCATTGGAAAGAACACTCAAAAGGGTCTTACCTCAGTAGTAGGGGGTAATTAGCCCCACCCTAAACACAGCTCTGGTCCCACCTAATAAATCTCAAAAGCCAGACTCAAAGGGATCAAGTGGTTTCAAGTAATGTAACTGTACCCCAGAACAAAATTCAAGAATATTTTAGGAATAAAAAGCATATCCAGCACCCAACAAGATGAAATTAACAGGAAAATATTATCCATAAGGAGGAGAAAAATAAATCATTTGAAACAAACCTAGAACTTGCAGAGATGTTAGAATATCAGACAAGAACAATAAAACAGTTATTATCAACAGTTGGACCATATGGTCAAAAAGTTAAGATAGGAAACATATAAAAAAGACCCAAATTAGGGGGCCGGCCCCATGGCTTAGCAGTTAAGTGCGCGCGCTCTGCTACTGGCGGCCTGGGTTCGGATCCGGGGTGCGCACAGACACACCGCTTCTCCTGCCATGCTGAGGAGGCAACTAGAAGGATGTGCAACTATGACATACAACTATCTACTGGGGCTTTGGGGAAAAAACGGGGAAAAAAATAAAAAGAAAAAGGAGGAGGATTGGCATGGATATTAGCTCAGGGCTGATCTTCCTCACACACACACAAAAAAAGTCATGTGAAAAAAAAAGACCCAAATTAAATTTCTAGAGATGAAAACTAAAATGTGTAAGATGCAAAATATTGGATGTGATTAACACAGATACAATATTGCAGAACAAAAGATCAGTGAACTTAAAGACATAGTAATAAAAACTACCCAAAACACAAATGGAGAGAAAGAAAGAATTAAAAATAATGAACAGAGCTTTAGTGAGTTGTGGGACAACTTCAAGCAGTATGGTTTACATGTACTTTTAGGATCTGAGTTGAGAAGAGGGGGCACAAAAAAATATTTGAAGAAATAATGGCCAAAAATTTTCCAAATTTGATAAAATTTGTACACAAATCTTTAAAGGAGGCAGAGAAAAAAGACACATACATATAGAACAACAACAATAAGGGCTAAGGCAGATTTCTCTTTGGAAGAACGCAGGGGAGAAGGCAGCGGAGCAATGTCTGTCAACACTGAAAGACAAAAACGTGTCATCTAGAATTCTGTAACTAGTGAAAGTATCTTTTTAAAAAACAAAAGCAAAATACTTTTTAGACATACAAAAGCTGAAAGAATTCATGACCAGCAGACCCACACTACAACAAAAATTAAAGGAAGTCCTTCAGGCAGAAAGAAAAGGATGCCAGATGGAAATAAGGATCCACAAGGGATGAAGAGCACTGGACATTGTACATAGGGAAATAGATACCATATTTTTCTTATTATTTAATTCTCTCTAAAAGATAATTTACTGTTCAAACAAAAATAATAACAATTTAGTGTGATGTATATAACAGGTAAAAGTAAAATGGGTAACAACAATAGGCTGAAGGCCAGGAGAGCAAAGCTGCTATACAATGTAAAGTTCTTACACTATTGTGAAGTTATAGAATACCATTGGATTGTGGCAGGTTAGGATGCATACCATAAACCCTAAAGCAACCACTAAAATACAAAACAAAGAGTGATAGCTAACAAAGCAACAGAAAAGATAAAAGGGAATCCTAAAAATACTCAACCTAAAAGAAACGTTGAAAAAGAGGAAAAGAGGGAACAAAGAATAGAGGGGACAAATAGAAAACAAATAGCAAGAAGATGACAGATTTACACCTGACCATATCATTAGTCATGGCGAATGTAAGGTTCTAAGCACAATGCAGAGATTGTTAGATTGAATAAAAAAGCAAGGCCCAACTAGAGGATGCCTATAAGAAACATACTTTAAATATACAGAGGCAAATAGGCTAAGAGTAAAAGGACGAAAAGAAGAGATACCATGATAACACTCATGGAGAGAAAGCTTGAGTGGACATATAAATATCAACAAATTAGATTTCAGAGCAAAGAATATCACCATAAGTACAAAACGTCATTTCATAATCATAAAGGATCAATTCATCGTGAGTTTGTTACAATCCTAAGTAATTTAGGTTTATACCTAAATACAGATCTTAAATATACAAGCAGCAAAAACCAACAGAACTGCAAGCAGAAATAAATCCACAATTACAGCCAGAGATTTCAATACTCTTCTGTCATTAGTTGGTAGAACAAGTGACAGAAAAATCATTAAGAATACAAAAGGTTGCACAATACAACCAGGTAACTTGACCTAATTGATGTGTATAGAACACTTGTTATGGATGGAATTGTGTTTCCTGAAAATTCCTGTGTTGAAGCCCTAACTCTCAATATGACTGTGTTTGGGGATAGGGCCTTTAAAGAAATAATTAAAGTTAAGTGAGGTCACAAGGGTGGGGCTCTAATCACTATAATCTTAGAGGAAGAGACACCAGGGATGCGTGTGCACAGAGGAAAGACCACATGAGGACACAGTGAGAAGGCAGCCATCTGCAAGCCAAGGAGAGAGGCCTCAGAAGAAACCAAACCTGATGACACCTTGATCTCAGACTTCTGGCTTCCAGAACTGTGAGAAAATAAATTTCTGTTGTTTAAGCTACCGAGTCTGAGGTATTTCATTATGGCAGTCCTAGCAGACTAATACAACATTCCACTTAAGAATAGCAGAATACACATTCTTTTCAAGTACACGCAGAACATATATGAAGTTATTATGACCCATATTCTAGGTCATAAAAAAAGCCTCAATAAATTTAAAAGGATTCATGTAATACAGACTATCTGAAAACAATGGTCTTAGATTAGAAATCAGTAACAGAATAGTCTCTAGAAAATCTCAAAATGTTTGGAAATTAAATAATACACTTCTAAATAATCAATGAGTCAAAGAAGAAATCAAAAGAAATTAAAAAGTATTTTGAACAGAGTAAAAATTAAAACACAACATATCACAAATTTTCGGATGCTGCTTAAGTAATATTGAGGGAAAAATTTGTAGTGTTAAAGCCCATATTAAAAAAGAAGAGAGGTCCCAAGTCAATGAGCTCATCTTCTACCTTAAGAAATTAGAAGAGCAAATTAAACTCAGATTAAGCAGAATAAAATAATAAAGATCAGAGTAAAAATAAATGAAATAGAAAACAGAAAAAATAGACAAAATCAATGAAACAAAAAGTTGACCTTTTCAGAAGAGTGAAAGCATTGATAAACCTATAGCCAGACTGTGTAGGCAAAAGAGGAAAAAGACACGCATTACCAATAACAGGAATGAGAGAGGAGACATCACTACAGATTCATAAAAATGATAATGAGAGAATATTGTGAAGAACTTTATGCCAATAATTTTGAGAACTTAGGTGAAATGGACTAATAACTTGAAAGACAAAAGGCGCCAAAGCTCACTAGGGAAGAAAAAATATTTTGAATAGCCCTATTCCTATTAAAGAAAGCAAATTATACGTAAAATCCTCCCACAAAGAGAATGTGAGGCTCAGATGGCTTCACTGGTAAATACCACTAAACACTTAGGGAAGAAGCAATACCAATCCTCAACTCTTCCAGAAAATTGAAGAGGAGAGTTCAGCATTATTCTGATACTAAAAGTTGACTTAGACATTACAAGGAAAGAAAACTACAGATCAATATCCTTCATTAAATATAATTCTAAAGAAAATTTTAGCAAATTAAATCAAATAATATATTAAAATGAGAATACATTATGACCAAGTGAAGTTTGTTCTTGGAATGCAAAGTTAGTTTAAAATTCAAAAACAATTTATCATATTAACAAACTAAAAAAGAAAAAGCATATAATCATCTCAATAAAGGCAGAAAAATCATTAGACATAATCTAGCATTCATTTCTGATAACAATTCTCACCAAAGCAAGAACAGAAAGGAACTTTCTCAACCCAATAAAGGGCATCTATGTAAAACCTCCAGATAACGTCATACTTAATGGTGAAAGACTGAATGCTTTTCCATAAGATTGGGAAAAAGAAAAGGACGTCCATCCTCACTATTTCTATTCAACATTTTACTGGAGGCTCTAGCCAGTACAATAAAGCAGGAAAAAAGGCACCCAAGTTGGAAAGGAAGAAGTAAAACTTTACTCTCAGATGACACGATTCTGTATGTAGAAAATCCAATGGATCTACAAAAAAGCTACTGAGTTTTGCAAGGTTACAGGATATAAGATCATTGTACAAAAATCAGTTGTTTTCTACATATTAGCAATGAACAATTGGAAATTGAAATAAAAAATATGACTTTAATGGCTTTCTGTACACTGAAAACAACAAAGCTCTGATGAGAGAAATTAAAGAAGAACTAAATAGTGAGATATAGCATGTTCGTAGGTAGGAAGACTCAATATTGTACAGGTGTCAATTCTTCCCAATTGACCTATAGATTCAATACAATTCTAATAAAACTCTAAGCAGCCTATTTTCTTTTAGACATTGACAAGCTGATTCTAAAATTCAGATAGAAATATAAAGGACGCAGAATCACCAAAACAATTTTGAAAAATAAGAACAATGTTGTAGGATTAACACAACCTGATTGCAGCACTTATTATAAAACCACAGTAATTCAGACACTATCGTATTGATGTAAATGTATGTAAACAGATCAACGAAACAGACTAGAGAGCCCCCAAAAAGTTCCACATATATATGTACAACTGAATTTTGATAAAGGTACAAGTGAAATTCAGCAGAGAAAGAATAGTTTTTTCAACAAATGATTTTGGAATAATTTGATATCCATAAGCAAGAAAATGAACTTGGAGTCATACTTGTATCATATACAAAATTTGAGTCAATATGGATCATAGACCCAACTGTAAAAGTAGAAAACCTCTAGAAGGAAACAGAGGAGAAATTTCTAGAAGGAAACAGAGGAGGTCTTTTTTATGTCTGATTAGTCAATGATTTCTTAAATGCAACACCAAAAACACAATCTATAAAAAAAGAAATTAACAAACTGAGCTTCATTAAAATTAAAAAGAGAAGCCACACACTGGGAGAAAATATTTGCAAAGCACGTATCTGAGAAAGTTCTTCTACCCAGGAAATATAAAAACTCTCAAAACTCAACAGTAAGAAAATAAGCACTTCCATAATAAAAAAATGGACAAAAAATTTGAACAGACACAACAAAAAAAGATATACAGATGACAAATAAAGACATGAAAATATGTTCAGCATCCTTAGTCATTAGGGATACGTAAAGTAAAACCACAATGGGATACCATTACATGCCTATTAAAATGGCTGAAATTAAAAAGACTGACCATACCAGGTGTTGGCAAAGATGGGAAGGAACTGGAACTCTCATACAGAGATGCTGACAGAAAGGTAAAACCGTACAATCACTGTGGAAAACAGTTTGGCAGTTTCTTAAAATGTTAAATATACACTTATGCATGATCTAGCCATTCTCCTTGTAGGCATTTGTCCAAAAGGAATGAAAGCATATGTCTAAACAAAGACTTGTACACGAATCGTCATAGCAGCTTTATTGGCAATGTAAAAAAAATTAGAAACTACTCAAATGTCATGAACAGGTTTAACAAATAAATTATGATCTATCCATACAATAGAATACCAGTCAGAAATAAAAAGGAATGGTCTATTGATAAATGCAGCAACATGGATGAATCTCCAAATAACTATGCTGAGTGAAAGAAACCAGACCAGAAAAAAGAGTTCATACTCTATTTTTTCCTTTATATAAAACTCCACAAAATGCATACTAATCTGTAGTATGGCAGATCTGTGGTTATGTAGGGAATAGAGGTTGGGTAGGAGGAGTGAGAGGGAGGGATTGTAAAGGGACATGATGAAACTTTTTAGAGGTGGTGTGTGTATTCATTATCTTGATTGTGATGATTGTTTCATGGGTGTATACATATGTTAAAATTTACCAAATTTTATACATTAGAAAAAAATATTACAAAAGGAAATACTGGGCTCTATACCATATGATATCTCTCCCACTGTGATAGACTAGATTACTGTTCTAAAATAGTCTCTGTATCCATGGAAGGAGTATACTTCCCCAATCTTTGATTTGAGCTGGGCTATATGACTCTCTTTGGCCAATGGATATTGGCAGGTGTAGCCTAAGGAGCTTGAAATATGGTTGTGTATTTGGACACCCCTCTCTTGACTTTGTATTGTCGTGAGAATGGCTTCCCCTGGGTCACTGTTGGTCCTTCATCCTCGACACCAGAATGAAAAGATGTGGAGCCCAACTCATAAGAGGCCGAGTTGTACCTGCTTCTAGAAGCAGAATCACCCAGCCAAGCACATCCTAGATCAGCTGCCCCCCAGTGACTTGTAGACACATGAGAAATAAATGCTTATTAGAGTATGCTATTAAGATTTTGTGGTTGCTTATTACACAGCAACAGCTGACTGATGCACCCACCAAAGATAGTCTTGTCAAAATTGAGATTTGGAGCCAATCATACACACCTTTGAATCTGGGTTTCCCAAGAGGGTCAGTTTCTCTTGTTGGACTCGAGCTAAAGTCAGTTGTATTACCTGAGACTGGAAGATAATAAACAATTTTGGCAAAAGATAAAAAAGCTTCACAATACAATGAAAAAGTAGTAAAGACTATAAATATTTAGTATGCCTCCTAGTCAATTGTTTGCAACTTTGATTTCCTTTATTATTATTATTATACATATTATCCACAATAAAAGACCTTTAATTATGTACCGCTGCAGGTATTCTGGAGTGTAATAAATAATTATTCAAAGATTACAACCTAGTTGCTAATATTCATTAGTAAATTAAGGTATGTGTAATTAGTAATGACATGAGATTTAGTAAGAAGCATTGGGTGATCTAGATCTTATCAGAAAGACTTTCCTAAAAAACTTGGGAATTTTTTTCTATGTCTGTGAAGGGAAGGAGCACATTCTATAACAAAGCATTAAAAAAATACAATTTTAAAATTAAAAAGACTCATATTAATCATAAAATTGAGTAAAATAGATGATCCAGAGCTGAGACTCTTTTCCCCCTAGTCTGAAATCTTTCAGTACTTCGGAGCTCAGTATCCAGAGGGAAATGACTGACTGACATACTAACCAAGATCTTCTCCTGAGGCAGGAACTGTTGGTTGCTTTTTATCTGTCTCTGTGCTCTCCGAGGGGGCTTCAGTAGGTCTGAGTGTTGCCCTCAGCGGTGGGGAAGTTACTCGGCTTGATGAAATGATTCCTGTAATGTAGAGCCAAAGTATTCCGGCTTTAGAGGAGCACTGCCAAGTTCCCCATTTATTTATTCAATAGATATTTATTAAGCACTTACCACGTGGCTTGGCACTGCGTGCCAGGCTTAGAGAAAAAACAAGATCTGGTGTCCTTGATGGAGACAGCCATGTGAGCCAAATATATTGAGGCATTATAGATATTGTGAAAGAACTGGATCAGGCCACAGAGAGGGAGGGCAAGGGGAGGGAGGAGTCTGTGGGGAAAGATGAAGAGTGTTGGGTGCAGGGAGTGTAGGAATGCCTTCACAGAGGATGTGCCAGTGAAGAGGAGAAGTGATCAGTACGTAGGTACGAGAGCTGTGTTCTGGTCAGAGGGGCAGGAAGAATCAAGTGAGGGAAGCACGAAACCACTTGGTGTGTTTAATTTGAAGGAGTGGGAGTCAAGAGTGCTCCGGGTGCAGTGAGAGCTGAGTGCGGAGGGGCAGGGAAGGGCAGATCATGAAGAGCCTTCTGTACCATGGAATTGGACATTATTTTTAGGCAACAAGGAGCCACTGAAAGATTTTCACTAGGGAAGTAACATGATCAGATGAGAAGAGGATGAATGGTTAGGATGCAAAGCTGGTAGCAGAGAGAGAGGTCAAGAAACTAAAGCAGTTGTGTATGCCAGGGCAGAGGAGGTGAACTACGCGAGAAGCAGTGAGACTGGATGGGAGAGATGAGAGTTGTTTTACATGAGAGATGTCAAGGAGATGGAACGGACTGACTTGGAGATTAACTGGCAGGCATGGGAGATAGATGGAGAAGAAGAAAAAGATTTCTAAGGTAATGTCGGTGATTCTGGCCTGGTAGACAGAACAGTGCTACCCTGAGTCGCTATATTCAACAGTATCTCTTCCAGTCTAAAAACACTTATAGGTCTCCAAAACTGGATCCATCCCAAGGTGTAGGCAAGTCTGGGCATGTAGAGTGGAGTGGAGGCTAGGCTGGATTTTACAGCCCTCCAGGGAAAAGGAATCATTCTCGGACAATAAAGAGTCAAGAGGCATGAGGCTGACCCAAGGACCACGGCCCAGCAGGGAGTCCTGCATGAGTCACTCCGATGGGCTACTCCCACCCCTGCACACTCATGCTTTTGGCCCTGGTGGGAGTGGGCCACAGTGAAAGGATGAGTGGCGACCAACAGCAGTGGCACTGCAGCCTGCAGGAGCTTTTCGGAGCTGGCAGAGCAGCAGGAAATGCTGGCACAGCACTTTCATCCTGGGAAGGAGAGCGGGACGCAGAGGCCTCAGCAGATCCGGGGCTAGGGGACAAGTGGCCAATGCCACATGGTAGCCTAAGTTGTGCTCACAGGCATTTGGGAGAGAGGACATGAGTTTAGAGGACTCCCAGGCCATTTAGTTGACTCCTGAATTCAGGATGCACCTTCTGTGATAGTGATCGGGCCAGATCTGTACCACTGCCCATTCGTGTTTGGCTCCTCAATGCAGTCATCTCCTTTGAGTTAGGGGAGGAGAGCAAGAGGGGGTGTGGGGCACCAGAGCTAATCTCAGAGGGGGATGTGCTTATGATTCTTCTTCAGGCCAGGTGGGCTGTACCAAAGACACACTTACTGATGGCAGAGAGATGAGGGGTTTTTTTTTTTTTTTTGTGAGGAAGATTGGCCCTGAGCTAACACCTGTTGCCAATCTTCCTCTTTTTGCTTGAGAAAGATTAGCCCTGAGCTAACATCTGTGCCCATCTTCCTCTATTTTGTACGTGGGACGCCACCACAGCATGGCTTGATGAGAGGTGTAGGTCTGTGCCTGGGATTCGAACCAGTGAACCCAGGCTGCCGAAGCAGAGTGCACTGAACTTAACCACTATGCCAATGGGCTGGCCCCGAGATGAGGGTTTGATATGACAGGAGCCAAGGCCGTGGAGCTACAGCTGAGGACACAGCCTTCCAGGGGAGCTCTGTGTGTGTGGGTCCCTTGAGTTTTCCATGGGGGACACTTAGGTATCACTTTCAGTCTGACTGGAAAACTGCAGACACTCAGTCACAGCTGCCCCAGGTTACAGTTAGTGAGGAAACCTGGTCTCCTCCCTGGGGCCACGTCCCTGGGCCCTGATTCAGGAAGGCACCAGAGGCACGGCTGAGAGGCTGACTCCTCCCCTCATCTGATGGGAAAACCATCTAGAGTCTCCATCACAGGGTACATCGCAACAGCTTCCCCGTCACCACACCCTCTTTTCATCGGGTGAAAAGAGTGACATCCATTCCCCTCCTCATAAACCCTCATCAGTTTCATCTTTCACAGCTGACTTGAATGCTTTTATCCTGATTCCACCTACAAAATATTTAGGAAGTAGAGAGGGAGGAGAGATGGGGAATGTGTTGTGATTTACCAGCAGGTCCAATGGAAGAACCTTTAAGAGAAATGCTCTGAACTAGGTCAATTTTCACTGATTCTTAATAATTTCACTCATTTATTCACTCAGGGATTACTTATCAAATATCCTCTGTGTGCCAAGCACTGGATTTGGTTCTGGGAGTTCAGAGAAAATGCACCAAGGACCCTGTCGTCACAGAGCTCATTGTCTTCAGGGGAGACAAGTACACAAACAGGTATAGACAATGTGCTCTCTGCTCTAGCAGATGAATGCATCAAGCAGAACATAGAGCAATGGGAAGACTACTTTGGGGAGCTAGAGAAGGCTTCCTCAAGAAAAGGACAAAGTGTGAGCATCCCAGGTGCCTGGGAGGGGCCCTTCTATGGGAAGGAGACAACATCTCTATGCCAAGGGGTAGAGGTGAGAGGCAGCTTGACTCCTAAAATATTCCTGCCCTGTTGCAAAGGCTAGACCTGCTCAGTCACCCTGAAGATTTCATTCCCCAATCTTTCCCCTCGCACCATAATACTGGGGCCAGCAGGAAGGCTGGGGGACAGGGGTGCTTCCAAAGAGATGTATAGGATTTCATTTCAGGAGACAGAATGATAAGCGGATGACATTTTCCATTACCCCTGGGGGGTTAGCAGCGTACATCTCATCCAAAATAATCCACTTGTTGGAGGGCCTGAGTGAGCTTTGGTCTCAGCTCAAAGCACACAACAACTATGAAGCAAAATGGCAGAGATGCACAAGGATGGTATCTTTCACCCCACCCATCCAGAATCAGGATGTGAGTCCTCAAAGCTGTAATTTACAGCGTCCAGTCTTAGGAGCCAACACAGGCACATGTCACACACACCAAGGGCTTGTCCGTTGCTTGAGCCAGCACACCAACAAGGGCTTGCAGTCAGCTAGTAAAACTGAAATCATGGAGGGAGAAGGAAGGTATACGACCGACGTACCTGCACTTCCTGGCTTTCCGGTGACATTATTTGGTGGTAAAGGTTTTCTTCGTGGGGGCGTGGGTCTAGGTGGCAAAGTTGGGCGGCGAGTGCTTGGGACTGTGGCTAAGAGATTATATTACAGATAAAACTGTCATAAGGATTCATTCTATAAAAATCACAGGTTTTAAAAAATATGTTTGACAAGTAGCAGTTGGATGACAGAGTATAGATTCTATAGAAAGGTGCCTATGAGTAATATTTTCTGATATTCTTCTAAATTGTGTTCCTTACATACCCTGGGATAATGAAACACACTAGTATATGGAGAAAATGTCCTCTAATCATAGATAAAAATATATCGGTATATTTGCCTTTTGAAAGGCTGTACAGATGTATAGAATTTAACATCGTTAGTTTCCCATGTAGACTCAACGGTAGCATTTCTGAGCTTCTTTATCTCCAATTGCCTTTGATTTTCAGACTACAATTCTTACTCCATTTTAGCTCTGAGTTGTTATAAAGAATATAATTTCTCCTTTAGTGGGTGCTCCATCCCATTCTCTAAGTCTATTATGTAATTATAATTAAGCAAACACTTTCAGAACTTCTCAGATGATTATAAGAAAGGAGATCCGCCGGCGGAAGCAATAAGCCTGTGTCCTTGGAGCAGGGCCACTATGAAGGGCTGTGCACTGCACAGGGCACCCAGCCAGGGGCCATCCGTGGGATCCAAAGTCTAACACCCACTCTGCTCACCCCCCAGGAGCCCTGGTGCCAGGCTGCCAGCCCAGAGCAAGGGTACATTTTTCTTAGCGGTTTGACCAAAGGGCAGGGGGAAGAGGCACATTTTTATAATTTGCATGAAGGTGTCTACTTTGCACAAAGGCTGGCAAGGCTAGGGGAGCCTGGAGCAGTCCACCTTAACCCAAATCTTCTTTTAAGTCTTGTGTTGTAGCTTAGAAATTCATGTCTTCCTTTGCACAATATATGTTGGTTTAAAAATCTTCAAGTAAAATTGACAAGCTAGGAAAATGCTCTGTGGTTTTCAGTACTTCCTGGGATACTAGGGTGTGTGTGTGTGCATGTGCGTGTGTGTGTGCACATGCAGGGGAGTGAGTGGAGGTGCTAGACTATATATATCTATAGCCCAGACATTAATATATCAGAGTAGGTTTCATAGCATCCTTTTGAAAAGCACAGAGTTCTCATTCAATGCAAAGATATTCCAAGTCACTAGCTTCATAATTTTGGTCTATTATATAGAGCATAGTCTTAAATTAGGGACATAAACCATTTCAGGCCAAAGGATGTTGTAGTAACTTACACAAGAGCAAAACTTGGACATGATGAAAACTAGAAGCCACAGTGACTCTGCAGCATTTGTCCACTGCGGCCCCTCAGAACATTATACAAAGTAATCATTAAATTGGTACCTGATTAGAGGCTCTTATTAATGTTTCATTGCACACAGAGCACTTTTCATTCCCCCAAAGACAATACTTTAGAATGTTTCTCTAGCAATACCCACGTCCCGTTGCACGGTTCTGACGCTTTGGGGGCTGTGCGGATGCTGCTGTTTTTACTGCAACATATGATACTGTGGTTATTGCCCAAGTTTCAGAGCAGAGCTGAGTAAGGGAGTCAGCATCTTATTCCCACCTGGCCTTTTTGTGGAGTCCACCGGCACATCTCCACCAGCAGCTGACGGCTTCGGTGCTTGCTTGAGCCCTATGAGCAGAGACAATGACAGGGAATAAATGTATAGCAAAATATGTGAAACATTCTTCACGGCAACTTGGTAGAGTTGTCAGTGATAATGTGCATTCTTTGCAGAGCAAGGGAATTGGTGATTTTGTGCCCAGACATTTTAACTGGTTTCTCCCAACTGCATATAGATAAAATTCAAAGCCCCACATTCGTTGTTTGTGATATTTTCTCTGAAGAGTTAACATTTGTGGATTGTGATTTTGTCTTAATTTTCCATGATGCCCACTCTGTGCTCCCTTCCTGGGTGGTATTGCCTCACCAGGCAGACTTCATCTTCGATGACTGGCCATTTTTCTCCAATATTTGTGGGTAAATTTTGTGGTTGTAAAAAAACTTTCCGGGGCCGGCCCATGGTGTAGTGGTTAAGTTTGTGTGTTCTGCTTCGGCGGCGTGGGGTTCGCCAGTTTGGATCCTGGGCACGGACCTATGCACCACTCATCAAGCCATGCTGAGGTGGCATCCCACATAGAACAACTAAAAGGATGTACAGCTATGACATACAACTATCTACTGGGGCTTTGTGGAGAAAAAAGGAAAAAAGGAGGAAGATTGGCAACAGATGTCAGCTCAGGGCCAATCTTCCTCAAAAAAAAAAAAAAAGAATGATTTAAAAAACAAAATACAAACAAATAAAATTTTCCTCCAACCCCTCTACCCCCATAAAAAACCTGAAAATTCCAACATGTTTGGGTTTATACTTAATGAATTGACTTTAAAAATATTCCTGGTGAGGCCTTGGCTATCAAGCTGGTTAGGCCACGAATTGGATCTGTAGCTTTGAGATTTATAAATTAGTCCTGGGCAGACCTAGAACTCCAAATTGCTATTTGGAAGAAACTGATCTAAAAATTACTTTGTGTGATATTTTATCTCCTAAGTCTCTCAAACACAGTCTGGTGGTTATTACTCAGGCATTCACCTAAATACCTGTGCTTGGATTTTGGAGAGCTATCCTAAGGGGAGGGAACCAATTTAGGTTTTGTCCTATTTTTTAAATCATTCTTCTTTTGTATTATAAAATAACCTTCCCTAATGTGGCTGACGGTTATCATTAAGAAAGAATAGAAATAGACATTTTTAGAATCTAAATAGTAAATATCACTTCAGATATATTGGCTCATCCTAAAAAAAGAATCCATACTCTGATGATCTGACAATAATTCACATGTTAAAAAATAAGAATAAATCATTTATTTAATATACTAGTTTGTACATTAACGATGACAACCACAACAACAACCCATACCACAACCTTGTTTTGAGTGCTCACAGTGTTCCCGGGACTGTGCAGGGACGTTCCCGGGACTGTGCAGGGACTTTCCACACTCAGTCTCATCTAACGCGCAGGCAGATATATTGATCAAATATACAACAGGAGCTTTGCTTGCCAAAAATTAGATGATATTCCTACATTAATTTATAAAATTATTAATTATAATTAATGTTATAAATTAACATTATAATTATTGACATTATAATAATTATTATTAGTATTATAACAATAATTATAATTAAAATTAATTTATGAACCCTAATATTGAAATCCCACACTTTCTGCTGCTTGGATCAAAGATAATCTATAAAATCATGGAGAATGTTTATATGGAGCCATGAATTAAATATTGCTTATTTGTGGTAGGAAAACAATGTTCCGAGGTTAGTGACTATTTTGTGGCTAATCCCACAGGCATGGTGAAGACAAATGGCTCGTTAGTCTTCTTCCTGTGCCCCCTGTAGGTGGCAATGGGGCCAGGGAAATGACTCATTTGGGCGATTGCTCTGTGCATGGCGTAGGGGAATGCAAAACACTTCCATCTGTTCACTGGGATACCCTGGCTTGGTGAGGATGCTTTACCACAATTTTTCAAGAGTAAAAATGTACTCTGTACTCCAGGAGGCTAGTAAGCTGTATGTGCCTGTAGCAGATCCTTCTTCGCAGCCTTTCTCCAAATCTTTCTACCCTTAAGAAAACAAAGTATTTCAACCCAATACCGTGCAAGCACCTTACACATTCGTTACGTGAACCCTTCTTTGTGGGAGATATCACCCAGGTCCACAGATGAGGAACCCAAGGCAAGGGGACTTAAGCAGCCTACAGCTAGGAAGTCCTGGGACTCAGACCTACACGTGCCCAGCTCCACTTCCACACCAAGTGGCACAGCACAGAGGACTGTCTTCCTCCGGTTGTCGTCTCCCTTCTCTTCTTCCTCACAATGACTCTAAGTGACTTCAGCCCCGGAGTCCTATACTCGGTCTTTTGGGTGGTTTGAGGCGTCACCACTGTGTAGGGCTAAATGGCCACGGCTGGGAGGCGTGTGTCATCAGCTATGCCACTGGTGTGGGGACTCAGAGACTAGCACAAGACCCTGAGCAGGCACATGCAGGTCCACCAAGCCACAGACACTGGTGAGTTGGAGATGCAGGAGAGCATCCTAAATTCTGCAGGATTACTTCAGAGTAAGACCAAAGATACAGTTCCCTTGGCTTCTTTTCCACTTAAGGGAGAAATCAGTAGAAACCAGCCATTTTCTGTCAGTTTCTATATAGGCAGAGACAGAAGCAATACGCTGTTAGGATCCTTAAAAGTAAGTAAGCACCCGGATCAATTAGCTGCTGAACTGGGCTTTCTCTAGCCTTTAGAAACAGATGAAAGTCAGCGGGGTATAACACGTCGCAAAAGACAGCCATGGAGCTGGGAGAAAGAGCACTGAGCTGGGCACGGGAGGCTGAACTCCAGTTCTGGCCTTGCCTCCCTCTAGCTGTGGTTTGTGTGTCGGCCAGGCAGCAGTGTGAGCCACAGAGCCCGCAGACCTGTGAACTTCTGTTGCCCTGAATCGGAGGAGAGCAGGCGAAGGCCAAAGGTAGAGAGAGGAGTGGGAAGGCAAAGAGGAAGCCAGGAAGCGAGACGCTGCAGAGAAAGACTCCTCAGGAATTGGCACCTGACCAGCCAGTCTGGCCCAGGCTGTGACCTGAATTGTTTTTCCCTCAGGCGGATTAATCTTTTCTAAAGGGCAGAGTTGGCTCTGGAAGCACCAAGACTTGAGTTTCAGCACGAGCCCCAGTTGCCATATGGGAGTTCTCCAGAAATCTCTGGATTTACATAGTTCACCCCTTAGCAATTTATTGTCAAAAATGAGGTAACCATTTGGGTATTTTTAACCATGGTAACAAAAACTTTGCAAACACAGTAAACTGGAAATCAATTTCCATATGTATCAGAGGTGGTTTCCTGTGACCAAAAAGGGGTGGTATCTATGGATGTTTGGTCTTTGCATCCCTGTCTCCAAATCCCAGCATCTGGCTAAAAAGTTAGGAGTGATGAGCCAGCAGACTGGAAGACTTAGCCACAGCCCAGAAAAACACATTCCTCACTTCGGAGGAGTCTGGTTTCTGGTTGTCAAGCACACTCCACATGGGGGCAGTCAAGTGTGGATTCTTCATTAGGATGCAGAGAAAGGAGTCTGGGGTTTAGGTATTTAACATATCCACCAGACCACATGTCCCAAGGTGGTTTCCAAATAACACTTTGCCTGGCACGTAATGGGCCTTCCATAAATGTTGGCTGAATGAAAGAATGGCTGCCCAGCGCAGCAGCTTCCTTCTACAGGAAGAAAGTTAGAGAAACTGTCTAGCACAAGGTCGGCTAACTTTTTCTGTCAAGCGTTAGACAGTAAATATTTTCAGCTTTGTGGGCCGTACTGTCTCTGTCACAACTATTCAACAACGCCATTGTATTGTGAAAGCAAGCTGTGTTTCAAAACTTTCTTTATAAAAATAGGCAGTGAGCTGGATTTGGCCCGTGGGACCACAGTTTGTGGTATCCCCTGGTCTAGCGCATGCTTGTTGCATCTCTGGAGTCAGATCTCAAGTTGGTTACAATATATAGAACACATCAGTTAAGCTGAAACACATCTCTGGAAACCTTGAAAAAGCAGAGTGCTGGAAAAACGACCTATCTAAAAACCTCAACCTCTGCAGGCCACTTTCAAGATTTGAGGTGGAGGAATATTTATACATATACATATGAAAAGCACATAAAGTAGGGTCAATGTATGTAATGATGTTATGAAATAAGAAATTTGGCTCAAGATCATTTAAAGATTCCTGCGCTTTATGGAATCATTGCAAGATTGTTACAGAGGCCTGAATAATCAAAGGTCCATAGTTTTGAGATACCAGAATCTTTCTTTTTCAGTCTTCCAAGGGTACAACCTTAAGTGGCCTAAGACCATGAAGAATATGTCCTATAAATCCTAAACACTTTTTTGTGTGTGTGTGTGAGGAAGATCAGCCCTGAGCTAACATCCATGCTAATCCTCCTCTTTTTGCTGAGGAAGACCGGCTCTGAGCTAACATCTATTGCCAATCCTCCTCCTTTATTCCCCCAAAGCCCCAGTAGATAGTTGTACGTCATAGTTGCACATCCTTCTAGTTGCTGTACGTGGGACGCGGCCTCAGCATGGCCGGAGAAGCAGTGTGTCAGTGTGCGCCTGGGATCTGAACCTAGGCCGCCAGTAGCAGAGTGTGCGCACTTAACCGCTAAGCCACGGGTCTGGCCCCTAAACACTTTCTTTATCAACAGATTTTTTTTTAGTGTAAATATATGGGCTGAAAACTTTAGCAGGAAAAACTATAAGAAAATGTATGTGAGATGGATAATAAAGATAAATATTCCGGGCAAGATGTCAAAGTTGGATAAGTAATCAGTTGACACAGAAATGGTGTCTCGTTAAGATTCAATAGAGGCTAGAAGTGAATGTGGATGAGATAGTGGGACTAAGTCAGAGAAGAAAGTAAGCTTAACATGAATACCTGCACTTCTGTAAATAAGCCAGATCAAAACTATGCAGAATCAAAGTAAGGTGGACTCATGTAAGTCTACAACCTGGAGAGAATAGATTTTAAAACATTCTTTTTCTGACCAATTTCTCAAGACATCATTTCCTAGGCAAATAGTCTGAAAGCTATTAAATTTTCCTTTTATAATATGCTACATACTGTCATCTATGATTTCCAATTTATACCATTTACTTCCTTTCTTGCCTTATTGCATTGGCTAAACACTCCACTACTGCTTTCAACAGAAATGGTAAAAATAGGAATCCTTGCTTCTGTTTACAATGTTAGGAGAAAAACCTTCAGACTTTTACTATTAAGTATGATATTAACAGTAGGTTTTTCACAGATGTCCTTTATCAGAGTGGGGAAAATTCTACTTCTGGTTTTCTGAGAGTTTTCATCATGAATGGATTTTGAATTTTGTCTAATTGCTGATTTTCATATTTATTGAGACGATCGTACAATTTTTCTCCTTTGCTCTGTCAATGTGGTGAATTACACTACTTTGTTTGAATGTTGAGCCAACCTTGCATTTCTGAGGTGAAGGTAATTGGGTTGTTATGTGTTATTGTGGTAGACGTGGAGATGTACCACCTAGACCTCCAATTAAGGCTTCCTTGGCTGAGCCCAACTCTGAAAGACCTGTCAGTTGGATGCTCTCTGCTGACCTCACTTCCTGCAGGTGGGCACCAAGTTCTTCCCTGAAGGGGGATTCCAACAGACAGACATTAGAACATAGAACAGATGCAACACATTTGTGTTGGGGATGGACGTGGAGCAAGGAAAGCGAGTGAGCTCAGTGAGCTCAGTTTTCCTACCTGTGCCCACCAACCCATTTCTACCAGCAACCAACTGATGAAATTGAAGAAGCCCTGATAAGAGATCAAACATCCTTCCAAAGCTACGTTAGATGACTTATTACAAAGTTGACTTCATCTACACAAGAAGGTAACAGATGTCAGTTTGTGTTACAAGTGGCTCTGAAAAAATGTTTATATTGCTGATAAACTAAAATACAATAATGCTGTTTTTCCTCTGAAAGATAATTAGCACTTTCCTAGTGAGAATCAATCCTTGATTATACTGAAGGTTAATGACTTTCAAGTTTGATCATAGCTACTTGTTCTTTCATTTGCTTTGTTGACATAAATGCTTTCTTCTATTTTACTTAGGCAAACTCCAGGGAATTATTTTGAATATTAAGAAGATGGCTCTGCTTAGAGCCAGAATGTTTACGTCAATCTGAGAAACTATGCATTGCCTAATCCCACACTTGTGAAGAATAAAAGTAGCAGCTGAATACAGATATTGGAACGCTTTCTTGTTTTTCATGAGTCAGGAATTTATAGTATTTGCCTCATTAATTGTTTTGAAGGGAAATGAATTCCTAGAACTTCAGACACTGTAATAACCTAGTACAAAAAACACATTCTAAAACAAATCTAAATGATTTTTAGACTGAATATCTTCAGGTATTATTCACATCTCTTTCTCATTAGGGAACCATCATGGGTTGATTAAATATATATCCATTAAATAAACTAATTTTCATGCTTTTTTACATAAGCAAGCACAAGATTTGTACTTTTTAAAAAAAATTTCAAAAAAAAATATTTCAAGGGGACGATGCAATCCCATGTTAAGGCATTTAATAGCTACCATTTATCCACTTAGTTGGGCATTTGACCTTTTATCAGATCATTGTCCTAGCCATCTCTATGGTGCCTACTCCTATAGAGCTGTTGAGATTAGGGTCATGTCAGTTAACTAACACGAATGAGTTGGAAACATTAATATGACTGTAACCAGGGTGATCAACTGCTAATTGCTCTTTTGTTTAAATATCATATTTCAGATTGCTAACAGATGCAGGTCTTTTAAAAAAAATTATAGTGGTACTTGTGAAATTATAAACTTGAAAACCTAGTGATCATAGTCTCAAAGACCAAGCCTGAATATTGAAAGTGTTTTGAAATTAGGGAAAATAGGTATTTTGATATTTTCATTTAAGAATTCATATTTAATCAGGATCTTTCTAAGAATCAAGACTATACATGGTAGCTGATTTAGGGGACTGAGTTTAAAAAAGTGAAAAATTCTTCTTAAATGTTCCCACAGACATTTGAAGCTTTGATTTTGTAATGAATTACAATTTTGAATTCCAGTTATACCAAGAACTTCCAAAACTGGTAAAAAAAGATGTTGAAATGTGAGTTGAACGAAATTATAAAAATTGAATGAAAACATTTATAGTTTTGATAGGATGAAAAGGAAATAAATTTTACTTATTTGATCATTACCTGTTTCCATTCCATCCTCTGTGGGCATCCTACTGGGTTTGGGTCTGCTAGGTCTTGTAGTTGTCTTATTCAGAACTACAGTAAAGTGGGAAATAAATAGTTTAGACATTTTCTTATTAAAACTTTGCAGCCAAGGAAAACAAAAACTTCCTAGAGAATTGGAAGTCATTTAACGAGGCAAAAAAAAAAAAAAAACTGATGGCTTACCAAAAAATATTGTTCAGAATATAGAAACCACAATTCTGGTATAAACATTATAGACATGAATTTGGGAATAGAGACCTGAGTTTGTACTCTGAGGTGATCACTCGACTTGAAAAAATAACTGGTAAGGGAATTTATATTTCCAAGTGGGGAATATCTTGGTTCATTCATCAGCACTAGATACGTTCCAAAATGGAACTGAAGAAAGAGCAGGACCACATATGCCTGAGGAAAAACCAAAACTTGAAGTGTATTTGTTTGTCAAGGCCTTAATTCATAACTCATAAGTTGGTGGTTCTTTTGCAGGAGTCTCTAGGTACCGATGTTCCCTCATAATACTGGCATAAGTCCATTGGTGAACATGGAAATATGATGAAGCCATTTCAATTTCTCCCCTGCTCATAGAAAGTCAGAGCATCACCAAAACTTTAAGAGGTCATCTGTATCATCCTCTGTTTAGAAGACTCTTTAAGGAAAAAACACTAAGTGTATTGTGGTTAGAAAGCAAGCTCTGATGTCAGATTGCTTGCCTTCAGTTGCACTTTCTTGCTTTTTCCACGCCTCAGCTTCCTCAGTTGTACCTCACAGGACACATGGCAAGCCCTCAGACAGTGTGAGCTATTATTGTTACTGTTTGATTATTTTGCAGGAAGCTTTAATATAACCAGCCACACATTAAGCTCTCAACAGCTATCATGATACAAAAGTCACATGAAGCTACGTTTGTTTATAAAAGATGTCTGTGCCTAACTACCTTTAGGAGTTGGAGGATTACTGCAAAAAAATATGGGCTCTCCACAAACCAAAGGAGAGAAACAATTATTTGTTCTTTTTCCCATGTGCATGGAGAGATGTTCACCAAGAACGTCAATTTATAAGCCAGTTTCATAATTTAGAACTTCAAGAAGACTTCTTAGAATCACAACAGAAAACACCAGTGTCTTTGGTCCACCTTGCACTGTAGCATAGGAGTGATCTACCTGGACCAAACCAACCGCTTCAGGTTAACTTCTCCCTAACAAGCTCCAGTGAGGAGAATTTAGCAAATTTAAAGTGATTTCTAATGTTTAATTATCATTTTACTTTTGCTGTTTATAACCTCTAAATTGGGGTGTTTTTTTTTTGTTTTTTTAATCATCTGAAGGAATCAAGTAAAGATATTCTCCCAGAACAAGATCCTTTTATATTGGAAGAGACCATCTTTTCTTAAAAGATAAATAACATTTGAAAGCAAGTAATATCACATCATAACTAACTCTAATGCTATCTCTATAATTGCCATGGAAAATTAACGGTGTGTGTGTGTTTGTGTGTGTCTCTGTGTGTTTGATTTATGCACAAATACTATTATAAAAATACTTTTATATTGATAAAGCTCCATAGTAGTCTCTGAACTGATCATCCTTAAAAACCTCAGTCAAGTCTTGCCACTTCCATGGATTGATTGCTATCTCTCTACTTATCCACAAGGATCAGAATCTCTGTACGTCCTTTATTGCAATTAAGGATATACTATATCCCTCTTTTGGTATATTTGGCTATTTCAATACATTTTATATCTTCTCAGATGTGTTGATTATTTAGGTCATCAGAAAGAGAAACAACTTACCAGGTCTGATGCGTGGTTTGTCAGGGGTTCTGGGCCTCACAGGAGTAGTATACAATCTGTGTGGTGCTGAAACAGACAAAATGCTTCATATTTAATAACCAACACTCCAAAGCCCATTACATGGAGATTGAGCACCTTAGGGACCAACAACTCACACACTTTGCATGGAATTATAAAGAACATTCTGAAACCTCCAATTATACATTACAGCGTGGATGCTAAAGGAAAGTAAAAGAAGTGAAAGTATTCATGACTGGAAATTAAAGGTGCACATAGTCAGAGTGAGGTAGGTTGTTTGTAATGTGTGTTAAGGATTAGTCATCATTTAGCCCATGTTTTTCAAGAGCATTTATTTTACTAGATGTTTGCTTAACATGGTAAACATATAAGCCAACCATCTATGCACCCAACCATCCATCCATCCATCCATCCATCCATCCATCCATCCACCCACCCAACCATCTATCCATCCATCCATCCATCCATCCATCCATCCATCTATCTATCCATCCAACCATCCATCCATCCATCCATCCATCCATCCATCCATCCATCCGTCCGTCCATCCATCTATATCTCTCAATTAGGGAATCACTGTGGAACATTATTTTGCCAAAAAAGACAAGTAATCTTTTTTTTTTTTTTTTGG